ACGAGGTAAAAGTATGAACGTCATTCGTGGACGATAATTAGGATTAATGATAACGGGTTGATAAATATAAAAGTTGGTCATAATAAAATGAGTGGTTTATAAGATAAGAAAAGTTTATTTATGAATAATAAAAATAATATCCTAATTCAATTAATGATCCATGATGACTTTTTATATATTTAGGAAATTTTTACCATGACTTTAAATTCCGATGTACAAGGGCATTTTTTAGGGATGATCGTGTAGGACTTGTTTTTTTTTATCTCGTCGTCTCATCTTCTGTCTTCCTATCGATTTCCCACGGTGCAGGAAATGAAAATGAAAGTTCGGATCGTTTCGGTCGGACTAACAGCCTTATCATTGTAACCCGGGTGACTAATCAATTCAAAGTTCATAGCCCCTCCGAATGACATTTATTGATATAATCCAGACTAAGTTGCAGGATAACGAAAATTTAACGAGCGGACGTAAAACTGTGCTTTTGAATGTTTATAACCATAATTATATTCTTCTTTTTAAGAATTACCCATAAAATGTAATTAATAACAATAACCAGTAGCATGATTTATAATAAGCTCAAAGGTATCTATAGCCAACACAGGAAGACAATAATTCCCACTGAACCATTAAACACCGTGGTAGCAATGCCGTCATTACTCATTGTATTTGAAAACCCCATAGAGAGGATTCTCCAAGCACTTTAGATTTCTCGAGATATTTTCCCAGTCATTTTCATATCCAGAACTCATTGCCGGCGTTACAAGTTATTTTTACAGACCATAAATTTTTGTAAAAATCACAAAAAAAAGTCATGAAAAAGATACGACCCGTCACGATGAGCACGTAAAATCTGCACCCTGAAAACTTAAAGTCTCGAAAGCTCCGATGGTTCAATAGCTGAAGACTTGGATGCTGCCGTAAGGAACTTCACGATCTACTCATGGACCATTCAACGTAACGGTACCAGTAGTAAGAGCGATTCCGTACTGATGCTTTTAGTTCCAAGAGTTACCGTTACGGGCACTGCCATACCAGACGTTCTACGCCAATGCCACTAGTGGCTACAGCGTCGTAGTCAGATCGATGCTGTTAAAGTTCCCCAATCTTCGTCGAGAGTGAAACCGTCTCGCGTTACAGATGAAAGCGAGGCTAACCAAGACCCCATCTGTCCTGGATCATCTCATCCTCGGAAATTTCAATCCATCGTGAAAATCAATCAACTACGAGAATTTTTCATTGGACACGGAATACTCTTTGGTTCATTAGCGAGAGTCAGATGAATTTGTCGGTCTAAAAGAATTGGAAGAAAAATATATATATACTAGAAATTTAAGAGACCGTCTATCTTATTGTATGCCCTGTAATTTTGCTCGTTGAATTTGGTCCTTTTGAAGTCGGACAAATTACATGATCTTTTGTTGAAATTATGAAAAGGAATCTTTTTTCTCGTCGATCGTAAAAGATGTGAACGGACACTATAAATATAGAAGTGACTTTCACAGCTATAAGAATTTCTTTATTCGAGGCTTGGCGCGTACCTACCGCACCTCTCGACACTATCGTTAAACGACCTCGGAGTTTCGATAAAAACTAGACCTAAGGTTAGCAGACTGGACCATTGGGCTGCATTGAACTGCTTATAATTATGTATTATTCCAGCGTAATGGTGAGGACAAAAGAAAAATAAGAGAAATGTCTCTTTCTAACGAGTGGAAAATAAATAACGATTGATTCCTCTGATCGGTCGTTAATTCGTAAATTATGCGAATAACGTAAAAGAGAATTTCATGGTAATGTCAAAACATCATTTAATATAACAGATCATTATTTGTATAGTAATAACGATCATAATGCAATCCTTTACCTACGTTAACCACTCTTATACTGTTATAGATTAAGTATCGCATTAAATTGAAAATGATACAAGACGTCGTTTCGCTGTTAAAGCGAAAACGTTAATTCTTCCTGAAAAGTAACTAAAATTATAACGAGTGAAAGTAACATTGTTATTATATACTTATTCGATTTTTTTTTTTTTTTTACATAAACTACAGTTCCCTTCAGCTTTCTACGGTTGCAATTTTGGTACCGATACCTTATCAGTTCTTGAATTATTTTTAATTATCGTATTGGATTGTGGTCGGATATAAAAAAAAAATTATTTTTTTCCTTCTCTTCCTGAAAACGATACCCTTTTAATAACGATGAATTTATATATTGGCGATTACAAAGTTTTACTTCTACCACGTGCTTGTCACTCGCTCTGTCGGCTCTCCTAGGTACCAAAAAAAATATTACAATTAAATACGTGCCGACTTAAGGCAACTAAATAATGAGCACGTGTGCTCCCAAAAGCATTACAGTAAATATACGCAAAAAAAAATTTCACCGTTGCGACTTTATTCTGAACGAGTTGAAAGTCAATTAGAAACTCCATTATCCCAGGTTACTTTTACACCGGACTTCCCTCTAGCGAGAATGCTCCAGTTAATTTATGCACGTATGCGTGTTCATCCCCTTTTTGGTTATATCAGTGTAATGTCGACTGTCTGTCAACAGGTGGATTATCATACGGGATTACAAGTGTACATTTAATTTTTCATGTATTCATCCACTTGCTATACCGTATCATTGTTACTATAATTTTTTCGAAAAAATTCCTATGCCAATTTTATAATGGATTTAGATCACTAGAAATTCCATGGAATCGTTAAAATTCGAAAGTCTAATCGATGCTCCAGTTTGTAATATCAATAATGCATTTTCTAGTAATTTTAATACGATACATTGTGTAGAAAGTTTACGGTATTTTTGTACGTCCTTTGAATAACGTACAGTCATTAAAATACGGATACAAAAAGTTATATATAAAATTGAAAATTCTTTTTTGAATAATTACCGATAAACGTCACGGACAGGCACAGATAACGATTGCAACACGTATAGAGAAAACTGGACCATAAATCGTATTCCATTAACGTACGTTTCCCGAGAAAAGATTAACAATAACCCAATGGACCTATCCAATCGCTCAAAGGTAATCATCCAATTCCAACCAATTGGCACTTATCCTCAGTCCGGAAGAGAAGAGCACAACCATTATCTGGAAGCATATCAGGCATAGTAACAGCGGAATATATTTTTCCTTAAAAATGAAATCGCCAATTACGTTTCGTCATTATCCAATATCAGTAGAAAATCACGTAGCATGATTTTTCGATGACTCTTATCCCAATCCATTACGCGAACTCATAGCGATGCTACATGAAACTCATCTAGTTAGAAATAGACGTCTATCAAATATGACCCAATAATTCCCAGGACAACGAACTCATATTTTCAATTAATTTATAGACATCGCGTCTAAGTATAGCTTGTCCAAGTATTGTTTACATGCTTTTCATAAATCATTCGCGGGATGATCAAAGGAACTTCTGGCGATGATCACTATGGATACTGAAAGGGAAAGGATCATCGTAAAGTCAGAAATATATATGTATATGCATATACATACAGTCTTCATACTTTACGTAACATCCGTACAGCCTCCACCTGTCGTCCAGCCGACTTTTCCACCTTGTCTACCAACCCCACGTAGGTGACTAGCAATAAGATGTCTCTACAGGGGCGTGGGGACATCGAATGGACAATCCCGCGATCACTGGTGCGGCCAATGCCAGTCACTCGTGAAACGTGAAACTAGTCGAAAGTTTTACTTTACCCCAGTGCCAGCGAGTCGAGACCGAGTGCAGTCGAAGTCAAGTGTCTGGATACTTAATTTGCCGCGTTGCGAAGTAAAATTGTGAATTTTTCAAGCGGATTTATCGGCCTGCAAAGTATCCTCGGTACCGAGAGGATTTTGAGAAGTTGTGGAAAAAAACAATTTTTTTTTTTTTTTTTTTTTTTTTCAATTGCGAGTGTTTTATTGGTTTTTTTTTCTGTGACGAAAATTTAAGGGATGTTTATTAGCCTGGTGATACGTGGATTCTAGTGCTAAAGGTCGGTTCACAAAGCGCCATTCTTGCACGAATGCTATCTGTAGATAAACTACCCTTTACTCGCGCAGTGCCCTATAAAAATGGCTGTAAAATTTTATCTCGGAGACTCTCGTTGCAATTTTCTACATTCTTTAGTACGTACAATCGGTTTTCTCGGGGACAACAATCTTCGATACGTTTCAGTAATGCCGCTGGCGAATCGCGATCAATTCTGCTGGGTCTACAGGACTTGCGACATTACGGATCTTGTTGAAAGTGAAAACGGGTGCTGCAATGCAGAAAAACTTTAGCCTGGACACCAGCAATAGATTGAATCGTAAATGATTACTGAAATTACAAAAATAATAATGATTCACGATATATATATATATATATGTAAATTATAATACAGTTCCACAGTATACAAATAACGAGAGTTTCTACGAAGATCAATTCATATTTATGTCAAACATAAATCGCATCCCTGCAGCAAAAGATACCGTAGCTATGTACTTGATAAGTGGGGAAATAAGAAATGACCAATAGACTTATGTCAAGTTTCCAATACACGACGAAAGCCAGTTGCTCGGAATGTACTAAAAGATTATGCGCATAAATTGGACACGTATTATTGCCTCCCTGAAAATACATTTCCATCCTGTCTAACCAATCGTTCAATCGATTCCAATAGAGATTGATTACAGTTTGCATAAACTTACCCGTACAGCATTTTTGACGCCTCCATAATTCTGAAAAAAAAAAAAATGTATTATTAAAAATTCACACAGATTCATATTCGCACATTTATATTGATCTCTTGCAATTTTAGGTTAATAAAATTCATAATTTTTATTCATTTCCGCCATGTGCCCTTTTGCACGAAGTAATGTTACGTCCCTGAATATAAATTGCCATTGCACTGTTATACGTACTTCCTAGAATTATATACACGTACGTTATGCTTGAATTCGCACGATTTGCAAATTGTGCCATATTCAGTGATTCATCTCGCTTATGTTACAGTCATGTCAATGCAGGAAGCCTGAGCTACGGCTAAGATGGAAGAAAACACGTTGACCCAAAAGTGCAAGGACTTCCGGCACGTAGGTGCGGCACTGTTGCTGATTGTTGGTCTTTTTGGAAATTTCGCAACAGGTGAGTCTTCCCGATAAATATATATATATATCATCTTCGTACAGTCCACGTAAAATTGCATCTGTGAGAATTGTCGAGGCTTAACGTTATCGCCGCTAACATTTACGAAGGAGTTCATGGCTCTCATGATTAGCATTGAGATCGTGAGATCCAGGTCCATATTCTGGAATACAATGACCCAGCAATACCTTATTACCCATATAAGGTACAGTTACCCTATTAATTAATAATTATCCCGATATTAATTATTCCCTAATAAAAAGTACCGTTACGCTATAACGTTAAATAAATTATATACCGGAAGTCAACAGCCCAAAATGACATTACCCTTCCACAGTAAATGCACGAAGTGACTGTAACCTTGAAAATTTTACAATATTTTATTCTTATCAGATACTCTACACCGTTGCCAATACTCTCCTTCACGGGTTTTACCTTCGCGACGTAAATCATATGGAAATAAATGTACCTATGTAAGATTAATAGATTTTGTTTTTTATTGAAAATTGAATAGAGTCACTTTTTCTTCGTTTTATTAACTCTATAACTTATACTGTACCTGTAGTAAACTATATTTCGTATCCGTGGGATAAAACGTTAGATGTAAAATAGAGCGTTGAATTACTTTCAAATATACGCGACGCATTCTTTAACGTGCTTATACGCGAGTAAAAGATTTTGGTAAAGCATAATTTTTTATTTTTTTTATTTTTATTTATCCGCAATAAAGCAGTCGACTAAAATTCTTAATATTACACATGTCCATCATGGTCGGAAAATATATTTAAATCTCTCGTTTTTAATTTATATAACGTGACGTCACACGCATTTTACGGATACAGTTACGTTTACATTTACTCGGGATAATAATTTAATTCAATAATTTTTCTTCTCAAATGATACTAGTCACATAAAGAAGGTCTTTTGATACATGTATCGATCGGTGTAAACGATTGATTTTCGATGCTCGTCATTTGTCAATTTAATGTTACAGTGACATTATATACACTATACTGCACTGTCTACTATCCCGTTACGGATTCCCGCACATCCGATAAAAAGTGTGAAACATGAAATTGTTCGCGTAGCTCACTCCTAGGCAGACTTTCGGTTTCGTTGCGATACACAGCCAAGTTTCCCGTCCGAATAAATTTTGTCGATACAATCTCCGACAACTTCCTATTCTGGATGTAACACAATCTGCATATCGGTTTGCTCGAGGTACGAAGTCGGAAATTATATTTCATCGGGGTTGCACATAAACAAAAATACGCAAATAGCGAAAAGCAAGAATCATGGTATTTTTTAAATATTTTCGTTTTTCATGCTAAAAGTAATTTTTGTGAAGACATCTTTGTTCTAAGATCATGACTTGTTAATATTTATATGAAATTAGCAAAGGCGTATATATTCAACTAGTATAGGAAGTGCAACCCACATTAATGTCTTAATACTTTCTAGAATATCTCGAGGATTGATACGTGCTAAATTTATATAGCATTACGTTAATTAGCATTAAGCCGCGTAACGACAGGTCGAAATTTATATTGCCGGAAAATCGTGTTTTACACCAGTGACTATCACGAAAACCGGTTAAATTCTCTGCTATGTGTATTATACCTCATAAGATTCATATTACCTATAGAAAATTTATGCTAAGATCCTGTGCAAGAAAGAGAGACCAAGTCATCGTGTTATTATATTTACGCTGTGTAATTGGTATGCGTGAAGAAAAATGCTTAAAGTGCTCGGAAGAAAATTGCTGGATTTCCGAGAAGTTATCGATACCCTCCGCAAGGATTACTCAAGGCGAGTATACGCCCTTCGGACGCCATAAGCCACAAGGATCTTTACGTTACTTAGGAGTCCTTGTCCCAGGACACTGTATTAAAAAGTGACACACGCGATATACGCGCCTCGTGTAAAAGCGGCGAGACGCGTAAAACGAATCATTATTCATCGCGTTCATTCATAGTCCAGATAACCTAATGCACAGTAGTTGCGAAGATACAAGGACACTCGTAGATACGTTATTTATGTGCAGATTTTTTTCAATCTTTTTACGAAGCATTAAACATACCGAAGACATTATAAAATGACATTTAAAAATTATAATTCTTCATGGTGGAAAAGTATTAGCGATTGATGCCTGATAAAAATATTGATATATTGAATATACAAAATTACATGTTGAATATTCAAAACGTCATTGACCTATCATAAAAGAATGATGTTTCTTTACTTTCCCCTATTAACACTATTAATGACTTCTGGCAACAACGTTCGAAACTTTTGGCAATTTTTTTTTTTCGTCGCGTTGCTATACGTCATTAAAAGAAAAAGATTGGCGACACAGATAAGGAATGATTCAAGGTTGGAAAAAAATGATATACGGCACGAGTGACTCTATAGAAAGTAATTTTATGGTATTGGACCATTTTTATTGTTTACCACAAATATCAGGTATAGGATACTTGAGAGTAATCAACGTCACATATGGTCTGCGGTTTCATTCTATATAGCACATAGTAGTACGGTATTGATTATTCTCACACATTCCTAGAAATTGAGATGAGACTTTTTCATCTCAGGTAATTAATCTCATAGAAAATATTACCGTGATATTTTCGCTGCTTCTTTGACTGTCGAGTCAAAATGAAATTCAAAAGTTACAGTGACTTAAAAAAAAAAAATAAAAAAAAAGTAAAAATTATTGTGGCCAAGGAGAAAGCATCCGTAGCATTAATTGCATTGGTGAGAGTATGTCACGGTCCATTTTTTAATAGTTTCGCATCCTTATTGATCCGAATGATCTTTCAACAGGTTTAACGTACGCAGGCTATTTAAGAGTTACGATTTATAGGTAATTATAACGCGAATATTTCAAGATGAATGATTGTTCTTTTTTAATAGAGACAGTAAGAGTAAATTTATTATTGATTATCGATACGATTAAAAATCTATGCATGTGGAAATTGTGGGAAGTCTGCTGGCCTCGTTTTCATGTAAAATTAACTGTATATGCAGAACGTGAGAGTAATAATAAATAATTGATATGTTTTTCGAAGAATTTTACTGGATCAATGTGAAACGAGAGAATGGGAAGATAGAAAAAAGACCTGTTTCACTTTTCCACTTATGTAGAAAGTAACAGGGCATTATAGGCAGTAAAATTGCGTCCTCGTAAAGCATCGCGTTCGAGTCTAGGAAGCAGCGGGAGATACGAAAGAATTGAAGGGATTTGAATAATCGGAAGAAAGTAACAATTGTAATTCATTATTTCAGGATGTCAATTCTACCCGAGCGGCGAATATTTGAAATTCGTACGAGTACCGGAGAATCTGCCACGTGGAGCAGAAGTACTTTCACTCGAAGTTCATCCAAGGAATCATTTGTCAATTATGCCGGTCGATAAGGTCAGATTTTCGCGTAATCGAATTGCTAAATTAATATTTAAATTTAGTTAATTATACAAATTAACATTTCAATATATCTATAACACGCCTACAGACAGACATTCGGAATAAATATTCGTTAAATTTTTTATTGAAAAAAAAAAAGAAAAACAAATCTTTCTTTCAATTGTTACAGGAGGAGGATACCAAGTACTTTACGTATAAAGACGTAAATAAAACTCATGCTGCTGTGATATTAGCGAAATCTTTAGAAAATTTAGTCGACGGTGATGCGCCGAGAAATTTGCTCAAATTTCGTCTTGTGTGCGATTATACAGATGGCAGTGACTCTCTGGTAAGTTAATGCGTTACGAGTAAAATTAATGGTGTCTATATGACGTAGCTAGATTTAAAGTAAAGTAGTATTACATTTTAAAAAAAAAAAAAAAAAAATTGCACCAACCCTTGGGTACCACCCACCGTCCCTTTGTGTGGGAATAAGCATAATATTTTTGCACTTAATCATGACGTGCTGTAAATCACAAATATGACAATTCTCAAGGCATTGTACTTGCAACAAATTTTGACGGAAGAACAAACAAACAGAATGATATGGACAGAGAGGAACAAAGAGAATCCGAGAATACGCGTGAGTACGAGTAGAAAGGAAATTTTTGACAAAAATTTCTTTATTCCGACGAAAATTCATTTTTAACATATTAATATTCGTTTCATACGTTACCGTTGATATTGCGGTAAAATTAATAATATTAAAATTCATAAAGTAACGACTTAACTTTTCGCACGCCAGGGTATACGGTAACAAAAATTTGCGTGCATGTCATAATGTTTCTGTTTATTTTCCATCTTTGAGTTATAGATATAACAATTTTCTTCCTCCCATTAACTTCGATGCACGATGTCATTTTATGCATGTAAAATATCTCGAATCTGGCGGCCTCGAAATTGCATATTGATTGCCCCGCATATGGGCCACGCAACAGCAACAGGAACAACGTTTGGCCTTGTTTCTCTCACTTTTTGTCTTATTTTTTTTTTTATCCCTAAGTGGATTGCCGCATGAGGTATTCAATTTTCGAGCATAGCAGCGTCATACGTTTTCGGGACTCGACCTTGCTAGCAAATGCTTTCGTTATTTATTTCCTCGTAAAAGTACGTGCAGTGCTTATGGCGTGTGTATATAGGTACATGTATATCGTGAAAGGCGCCATATTGCGAGAATACTATTCTTATTATTACCTCATAAGAACATGCAATACATGTTAACCAAAAGCGCTGTCAATGACGTATCGCGAGACCTACTGCATATGTAAAATAATATATGGATTAAAAAAAAAAAGTGGATGAAAAATTTTTCTTATCTCATTGATTGATCGATTTGGATTTCTTTCTATCAGGTATCGTCCCATTTATCAGTGACTGTCTACGTAGAGGATGTGAACGACCATGCACCGCAATTTGTCGACGCACCTTATCACTTGGAGGTCGATGAACTTACACCGACGGGTAAAAAAATTTTTTGCGAAATAAAAACCAAAATTGGAATTTATCAAATTCGTATCGTTCAATAGGTCTCACAATTTTTCGAGATATTCACGCGGTGGATAAGGACAAGCCGAATACACCCAATAGCGATGTGCATTACGCGATAGTCAAGGGTAACGAAAGGGGTAAATTTTCATTGGAGCCTGGACACAGAACCGCCCTTACGTTACGTAAATCTTTGGACTACGATAACGACGATCGTGAATTCGTTCTCACCGTGATGGCGTCGGTGAGTTTGTAAATTTAATTTGTCTTTTTTTATATGCTTATGATTTTTTTTTTTTTTTTTTTCTTTAATATGCATTTTCGAAATGCAGACAGTCGTCACGTAGCCGCGCTGACGCGATCTCTATACGTTTTCACTTGAGCGCTATACTTAAGCCGCATCCAAGAAACGTAAGAGAAATTTGAATGATATTCAAGCCAGGAAACGCCTCTTTTATATATACGAACTTTCATTCCCTCAATGCGTGTACAACTGTACACATGCCGCGACGGACTACAATGGATAATTGAGCGACCGAGACTCATTAGACAAGGTTACGGCTAAGCGAATCCCGCATGGAATCCAGCATTTTTCAAATCTTTCCTACGACAGTGTAACGAGCAATTCTCGGTATTAAATACGTGCAACTCGTTTTGGTGAAATCGCGGGTCGCCGTGCGATTTCACAAGGCAATTCGGGTAGCGTAGAAAGTTCTGACAATTGTCGTAACAGTTCATTGTCAAGGTTATCGGTAGTCATGATCCAGGAACAGGTGGGACGTGGTTAAAAAAATTTTTTTTCGAAAATTTAATAATCAATTACGACACACAATTGGAGCTTGAGGAGAATTCGAGGCGGTCGTGTGGTAATCTTTAATTTTTGATGTTCGCAGACAGCAAAGTTTACTCGTGAAAAATCGCTTCGGATAATACTGATTCTCGATAATTTACATATCATACCAATTATTGGAATATGGAACTTTATTATGAAATGTATGGATTTTTTTTCTTCTTATTATTATTATAGGTAGTACAGGATTATTGGATAACATTCGATATCCAATTTTCCAATTAGCCGTATAGTCACGTTCGTTTGTGCGAAACGTTGGTAACGTGTATTGCAATTTAGAGTGAATTTTCGAAAATCTTATTATTCCGGTAGCGTTTCGCGCGATCGATATAATCTTTCATTTTTCATATTAATAGCTCGTCTTTTTTTAATTTGATAATATACATTTTTTCTATAGGATCGCGGAACTCCTATGAGAAGTACCAATACGACTGTCACTATAACCGTTCTGGACAATGATGACCTGAATCCAAAATTCTCACAGCCTGTTTACCGTACCAAGATTTACGAATTTTATCCAGCACCGGTAAGACAATTTTCACTATCAATCGAATCCTTATCAACGTGTAAACAGGAAATTGGAGTATAGTAACTGTGCAATCTGATGCACATGAAGATGTATCTAAACTCATTTATAATGCATTTACATTGGAAAGTGTATCTTGCACTAGCGACACATAATGATCGATCTGCCCAAGATACGTAGTTCAATATACATGATCAAAATATCGGCGAAATTTATTTTTCCAGAATTATCCCATCCACGTGGAATTGAATTTCACGCCACCCATCTACGCGGAGGATCAAGATAGAGATCTCGATGTTGACATTCGGTACGATATAATATCCGGAAACGAGAAAGGACTTTTTTACCTAAACCCACAGAACGGTTCGCTCTTTCTGGAGCAAGCAATTGACCTTGATTCGGAGCGCAACCTACCGGGAAACACATACACCCTGCAGATCCAAGCATCCCAAACGGACAATCCCCTAAAGCTGGCAGTGGCCAAGGTCGAAATAGAGATCCTCGACCTGAACGATAACCTCCCAGAGTTCGAGGTCGACTTCTACAACATCAGCATAGTCGAAAATCTACCAAATGGTTTCAGCGTCCTGCAGGTAATCGCCACCGATAAGGATCAGGGTGATAACGGAGAATTCGATTACGAGCTGGAGGATCCATCCGGAGCATTTTCGGTCGATCCAAATTCCGGCTGGTTGACGGTCAGAGATCAGACGATCCTCGACAGGGAGCAACAGAATTCTTTAAGGATGAAAGTTTTCGCGCGGGAACGTAGACCAAGCGTCGTTGCCACGTCGAGTGGTTCATCCTCGGTGGACGTCGAGGTGACGCTACTCGACGCCAATGATAACAACCCTACCTTCGTACCGAGTAATCTCTACGAATTTGTAACGAAAAGTGATGCTGCGGTTGGTACTGCCCTGGGTCAGGTTCAGGCCGTTGACAATGATCTGGGAAGGAATGGTATGGTTTTGTATAAGATACAAAAACCAGGAAACACCTCGATCCGCACGCCGTTCACAGTCGACGAGCACACTGGTATTATATCAGTGGCTCAGAGTCCGCTGATCGAGGGAAGACACGCAATCTTCGTCGAAGCTGCTGATCAGCCAACGAATCCCAGTGAAAGGCGGTTTTCATTGGCAGTCGTAACTGTCGACGTATTTCGTCCTGGTGGTGGTGCGTATCGTTCTATCGAGTTTTCATTCGTCCGAGGAACCTGCTCATTCGTGCCCACTGACTCTATTAAGCGACGCGTCTCATTTTAGGTCACAACTCATGGGAACCAGACTTTGTCGGAGCGCCATATGAATTTTGGGTCGGTGCTAATGTCGGCATTGGCACGAGCGTCGGTCAAATTCGTGTGAACGACGCTGTCAAAACGAGCAATCTTATTTACGACTTACTTCACAGTTATCACGAAGGGGGTATGTTTTATTACTTGAAAATATATTTCAACGTCAATTTCTCTATCGTTATCGGTCCGCGTCTTTGACGAGAACCGTGACTGGAGACAGTTGCTCGAGCATGGATTTCCAGTCCCTTGCGATTATTTATTCGACGTTACTTTCAGTTCCATTCGCGGTCGAGGAACGTTCCGGAACTATAACCGTAGTCGATGAAATCGAACAGTTCGATCGTTCCTTGTTCGATTTCGAGGCGGTCGTGACGAACGAGAGAGATCTGACTTTGGTCACCAACGTCTCCATACACGTTGTAGATCCGAACGACGAGAGAGGGATTTTCACTCAGTAAGTTAAATCATAATAATAATATACATTGTGACACCCGTTATAATTATAACGAGGTAAAATAACGAGGATGATTCCGTAAAAGTGAAACTTTCGTAATGACTGGAGATAAGTAATCGTTTGATTACTTTTCGCGTAATCGACACGGAAGAAGAGGTACGTCGAGCCGCTGTCATTCGCACTTTCATAATTTAACTAACGGCAGTGAGCGAGGACGACCCGACGAAAGATTTTCAAAAATTCTCAAATTCATGATTTCGATTTAATATATATATTTCGTTGTTTCACGTGGGATTTATTAGCAACACTTTTTCGAGCCGTACCCTACCCCGCGGGGGGCCTCGTGCAATTTTTCAAAATAACACCTCGCTTTTGTATTATTGATACAGAGGGACCACAAAAGCTCCCCTAATATTTCACGTGAAGGAAAACGTTCCTGGTGCTTTCATTGGGCAAGTGCTTCCGCACAATGCCACGAATACGACCAGGAATATCCACTTCATCATTGCCAATCAGCAGGATGTTCCTGATATAGCGATAACCGAGGACGGTGTCCTTTACACCCCTCGCGGACTGGACCGGGAGGAAAGACAGAATTACAGCATCACCGTAATTGCTGAGAGCTTACGCGGAGTGGGTATTTTTCAAGTAAGTTTCGTCGTAAAGTCCTTTTTTCTTATTCTCCAAATAAGTATGTTTTCTCGTTGGTTATTCTCTGCGAGAACGAGGTTGGCATTTATTTATTGTTCTTTAACATTATTTGTTAATGCTTGATTTACGTAAAATACGAAAAAAAAAAGTTGCCTACCGATCATCGTTAAACCGGTCGACTGGTTGTTTTAGGTGACCGTTATCGTTGAGGATGAAAACGATAATCCTCCGGTTTTCTCGATGTCTACTTACGAAGGACGTTTACTGGAAAACAGTCCTGTTGGTACCGAAATCACTATGACGAATCGTATCTTGGCTCATGATCCAGATGACAACGGGGATCATAACGTAGTCTTGACCCTTCATGGCGAGGGCAGTGAACTTTTCACCATTGACCAAACCAGCGGGCGGGTTTTCTTCAGGGGAGAGAATTTGTTGGATAGGGAAGAAGTGGCTGAGTATCATTTACGAATCGTCGCTAGGGATAAGGGTGAGTCAAGAGTATTACCAATGAATTTGGACAATTTGAATAATTTTTTTTCTTTATAACTGAAAGAATTTATATAAGAGACATTGAGACCAAAAATTTGAACAAATCCCATAACTTTTATACACTTATTTTAATATCCGTAAAGTAGGATAATAATTGGATTTTAAAATTTTTCAAATTTGAGAACACGCAAAAAAAGTTTATTCTTACAAAATACGTAGTAAAGCTGAATTAAGTTTCTTCGGCCGGTCCGAAATCTGTATTATCATTTTTTTTTCGCTTATTCCTACTTTAGGTAATATGCATTCCGAAGCTCAACTCGTAATAACGGTGGATGACGAGAATGACAACCCGCCAAACTTCAAACAAATGATAATCCTACCGGACCAAGGAGTCCACGTGGCGAACGACACGGAATACCAGGTTAAATCGGTACTAAAAAACGGTATAAGAAAACCGGAAATTGCCAACAACAACATGAAGAATAATCAGGACAACGATCACCAAACGCCATTGCTCCTGATACCGGAAAACAGCACAGTCGGTACGATCGTAATTAGATTATCGGCCGAGGACAAAGACTCCAGCAACACCGAATTAACATACAGCATCATCAACGAGACAATCAGCGACGAAATCGCAAAGTCCAACAAAAATCGTCACTTTGCGATCAATCCGATAACCGGGGAGGTATCGGTAGCTCGAAGTCTCCCGGCAGAAACCGAAATTCATCTGACGCTAAGAGTCACCGACAGTGGAAACCAATCCGACAACGTAACCGTCCGCTTTCACATCCTAGACATAAATAATCACCCACCAGTCTTCAAGAAGTCGTGGTACACCTTCAGCATACCCGAAGGAACTTACGAGAAACGTACTCTAGGCACTGTAGACGCTATCGACGCGGATTACGATGACAACGCGAACATAACGTACGACATAATCAGATCGTCCAACGAGTCGTCACCGTTCAGCATTGAGCCTCATAGCGGACTCCTCAAGGCGACTGGAATTCTCGACAGAGAGACCTTAGACGTTTTCAGATTCAGCGTCGTGGCGCGGGACCAGGCTCTGAACAGTTTGAGCTCGAGCGTCGACGTCGAGATCAACGTCCTCGACGTGAACGACAACGCGCCTGTATTTTACGGTTACGACGCGCTGGACAAACTCGTAACTGGTACCAGCGACATCTTCAGCGGCGACACGAACCAGATGGTACCGACCTATTACGCATCCGTGCCAGAAAACAGTCCGGTCGGTACGATCGTCACCAGAGTCTACGCCAATGACTCCGACTTCGCCGGAAATGGAAATGGACTTATCCTCTTTGATCTTCCTCACAGACGCGGAGATCCGCAATACTTTAGCATAGACAGCAAGGAGGGCTTGGTATCTACCGTTGCTAATTTGGATTATGAAATTCAAAGGGTTCACAATCTTACTGTCATAGCTAGCGATCTAGGGTCACCCAGTTTAACCTCCACGGCGATGCTCCTCGTCAGGATTTTGGACGTGGACGAAGGCGACGATAATGACGTTCAACGACCGATATTCCAGCATCGGTACTACGAGGTCGAGGTAGAGGAAAATACACCGGTGCCTTTGAAGCTGGTGCAGCTAAATGTCTCTGGGCATTTCATTAACGAACACCTAAGGTACTCGATCGTACAGGACGATTCGGACGCCAAGGATCATTTTATGATTGATCGTAAGAATGGTACCTTGTATCTGGTTACGAGTATCGATCGCGAGCTCAGAGATCTTTACGAAGTGAAGGTCAGGGTGGACAGGGTGAAGAATGGACGTGGAATGCCGGTTATGATTTATCCTGTTGTCGGGGAGAGGTTAAATGGTCTGGCGCTAAACGAGGCGAAAATAACCGTAAGAGTCAAGGACGTAAACGATAACGCACCAAGATTTAAAGCCAAGGGGAGACCTATGCTGGCTGCCATACCAACCACTGCTCATTATGGATACGAGATTATTAAAGTTGAGGTAAGCTTTTTCTTTTTTGTATTTTTTTAATCCTTTTTTTTTCAAATGGATTTTCAATATTTTTATTATATATATATATGTATGCTCTCTCAATAAATTTCTCATCAGGCCGAAGACCCCGACCAAGGCATAAATGGGGAAATTCGATACCAAATACTTGGCCGTGAAGATGCTCCGAGATTCGCTATTGACCCACTCAGTGGTCAAGTGCGATCTGTTGGAAGTTTTTCGCGGGATGCTGGACGAGTTTTTGGATTCGATGTCAAGGCTACTGACAGACGTGGTGCGGAAGACGGTCGTAGCAGTATTGCCAATGTTTTTGTGAGTTTGCGAATTTCTTTTATTTGATCTTCTACCAATGGTGGTTTTACAGTCCCCTTTATCGGTCTCTCCCCTTATCGCCATGGGGAAGATTAAATATTCACTGATTGCTCAAAGCAAAATTTTCGAAAGACCTAAGTTCCTTTTATGTCGGTAACTTTTCATTTTCTTTTTAGGTATACGTCTTGGATGATCATAAACAAGTCGTTATGGTTATGGGCAATAAACCAAGAGACATCGAACTGCAAATTGATAACATTACCTCGTTAGTATAAAGATTTATTTATATATATTTATAAATATCATTTTCTTGCTTCATCAATGATTTTTTGGATTTCATTAAATATCTATTACAGCGCGCTACACAATGTCACTGGACTGGACGTACGTGTCAGAAAATTGGAACCGCACATTGAGAAAAATCTCATCGATGCTGCTTCGTAAGACTTTTTTCTTTTCTTATTGTGAATTAATTTTTTTTTTTTTTGAAAATAGTAAAAAACTTTTTTTTCAGGACGGACATGTACCTGTACGCGATTGATCCTCATCTAAATGTTATGATCGACATGGATACTTTGCACAAGTATGAAAAATTATAGAAAAAATAATTCAAGCTATTTTCAACCCCAAAAATACACGTAACACCAGTCGATAGGAAATATCAAATTTTATATAATTTTAACAATAATCGAAAATATCCTTTCTGCAATGTGTTACAGCGTCTTTCACAATAAGAAGACTGAAATCAAACGGGAATTAGAAAGATACCACGTGCTTGATATTGCCGGTACAACCCCTCGGCGTAGTAACCAGAGATATTTGCTGTCCACCCTCGAAGTTGGGGTGGTTGTTTTGGGTTGTGTCGTCTTTGTCGGTGCCCTTATCACTGCCTTGTGCGTCACCTGCTTCCGAAGGAATAAACGGTAAACATATTTCATCATCAATCACGAGGACTTACCATACAAACAATATTATCGTCGCTTCCCCGCCGACAGTACAATAATCCGTAGGGGTTGATTTGAATGGGTTGTTCAATTGGACACGTAAAGCATTCTAGTCTAAATGAAAGTTTATCGACTTTGCTGAACATACATACATACATATATATATATATATATATATATATATATTTCCTAATATTGAATCTTGGACATTCAGCAAGATCAGCCCTTAAAGCTACCCAAGTCTTTTTTGCTGTCGAATTGTCCATAATTCAGGATCTAAATAACGTGTAACTTTTGGATTCAACCGAGAATTATATCTTTGACAGGAATTTGCGTGAAGATCCTTTTTTTCTCTTTTCTCACTCTTTATTCTCCCTTTCTCTCTACTCTACTTACACAAAGTCGTATTTCACGCCTAATGCTTTTCCTTAAATTTATAGGGGGAACGGTAACATCAGTACTATACCACGTACGACATGATCCAGAAGGTCGTGTATCGCGTTATACTAGGGTGGAGAACACGTTTTAACCTTGACCTCTAAATGATCTTAGACGCAATCCTCGCGATAAAAGCACCAAACTGTTCGCGACGTTGGATTAATTACTTTGAGTGAAATTTTTTTCAATTTTCTTTTTTACTTCAAGATTCTATGTTATTCAGTTCTAAATACGAAAAGTATGTACATTAATTTGTCTACATGTGGAAAATCAAGTTTATGAAAATTTGAATAATTAAGTCAAATTGATAATCGTATATATACGAAGTATACTAAAAGAGGGAACTGAGTGTATGACCATGTGGTATCATGCAGTGATTTTCAGTATTAAAAAAAAATCATACTAAACCATCCGTCGTCGATCGTCTGCCATTCTCTATGTATATAAGTCTCATGCCAAAATGTTGACAGTAGTGTAAATCATAAGAGGTCGAAAGTAGTGACTGGTAGAAGTAAAAGTATTTTGGACATAGTGTACCTGTATGATTGTCATAATGTTTATTAAAAAATAAAACGAAAGAAAAAATAAAATAAAATCATTATCAACAGAAATTTCGACAGAAGCAATACGTGGTGCAGTATGTTCAAAATCGACAGTTGCTCTCGTCGCTTGATCTCGCAGCTTTTCTTACTAATAAAAAGTGACACATTATTAATAATCAAACGTATTAACCAATTTCCTCATTTTTGGACTATCTGTGCCATGTATGTCTCTAACGCTTATTTTCATCCCCCTTAATGTACTCAAAAAAAAAAAAAAAAAATCCTAAAAATTTTCCAAAACAAAAAAAAAGGGAAATCTCTTCGTCTCACCACGAGCAAAGCTTTTTATCGTTATTAAAAAAAAAAATTATTATCCAAAAACCCAGCGATAATTCCGGACGTACGTTCTTCGTAAACCAAGTGAAATTTTGTTCGTTAGCCGACAAAGGCAAGGGACTGGCATGTATTCGTCGGGTGGCCCAGTTGGCTTTGCTTTGGCAGACCCGACCGCAACGTTGCAGAAACCGCCGCTATTCCCGACCTTTGTAGACGGCCTTCATTACGACCCTGAACCGTTCTCCAGCGAAATGCGACATCACGGCATCTGCGAACACGAGCCCAGCTGCGTGCGTTTCCACAGGTGAGCTCAGGTGCAGATCTAGCAAGATCAGTCAAATTTTATCCTACCTAAAATTCACTGATTAATCGTAAAGAGTCATTGCCATAATTTCGATGAACATGATCTGGCAGTCTTAGAGCAACATTAAAGGTGCGTTGATTAATCGACAGAACCAGCATGGGCAAACGTCACACAGTAAGAACGAGTACAGGGACCCTGGAAGCTTCCGCTACGTCACTACACTCCAGTGGTCAAGATTCTGGAATCGTTGCCAGGACTTGTCATTGCAGTCATTCATCAAGTCCCTCCAGCGGAGAAAGTAGCAAGTCAGTCTTTTACCGGACGTCCCGCAAGTAACTTACTTCCTCGTTTAACGCACCAATGATTTTTCAATCAAAATTTTGCACCCGCGCACGTATATATATATATATAGTATAGTATAGCATATATAGAATTGCCTTGTCCTAGTATTCCTGGTCCACGTCATCAGCTGTCTAATGATCCTGTAAAATCGTTTCAGCGGCTACGAGGACTCCCTGAGGTCGTTGCATCGACGCAGTGGTACCAACGACGCGATACGAGAACAGGAGACCAACGTCGTATCGAGACGTGCGAATTTACCAGCGTCGAGAAGACGTCAGAGATTCCACTCGTTCGCCAATACCGGCTCCGTGTACTCCCAGGAGGCCAGCCTGAAGCGCGACAAGCGATTGAGGCCCGATAGCGATAAGAGACGCGGTGACGTCATCAAGCACGAGCATCGCCGTGCTCTTTCGGAGGCTGAGAACAACATCACGGAAACTGTCATTCACGAACATCCAAGCGCGGAAATGACGATACCAACGCCGCTGCCCAACGTCTCGACGCTCCATGGTAAGACGCACAACGTCGTCGTCTCGACGCCTGCCGCGATGGCTCTGGCGAGACGGCAGAGCGTCAACGTTATGTACGGCAGGCCGACGTAAAAATCATTTTGATTGGTAAGACGGGACTTCGACCTCGTAAACGTCCTCGATGATTAAATGGTCCTGAGAACAGCTGACGATTACAATCAAATTCTTTATATTCGCCAGACTCTCGTTTTTTAATGGCACTTGGCTTTATTCATTCTCTATGGTTGTCTATGGTTAGCTTCGACCCACTTGGAAAATCCTTTACTCACGTTCTTTTTCTTTTTTGGGGGGGGTTTTCTCGGTTTCAGGTACTTCGAGAACCAGCCATATGCTCTACTAAAATAGATACGAAACTACTCAAGTGCTGGAATGTTTGCTGCAAATTTTTTTTTTTTTTTTGATACTCCGATATCTTCGAGATGGGTGGCACTTGGGGGTGCCACTTAGAGTAGCGGATGATAAACAGCAACTTGAATGGTCTGCTTGGGTTTTTTTTTTTTTTTTTTTTTTTTGATACTCCGATATCTTCGAGATGGGTGGCACTTGGGGGTGCCACTTAGAGTAGCGGATGATAAACAGCAACTTGAATGGTCTGCTTGGGTTTTTTTTTTTTTTTGATATTTTCGTGTTTTTTTTTTCGGGCGTAGGAATCAGGTTTCGATCGATCCAGACGAGCAGACATTTTTTTTTATGGATTCTGATTACTGATTATCGGAATATCCTTAGGCAATTTATGCCAAAGTAACGGATTGTCGTGGAGCCAAATCGTTATTGTTTCCTGTGTAAATATTGAAGGCGTCGTTCACTTATTTTAGACTATAAAGTTCATTGTCAAATTTGAGAACTAGTGGTAATTTTTCTTCGAAGAATGCATGATTGTATCAAAATTAATTGACAGGATCTACATTGTATATAATTCTCGATATATTCGATGAATGTCTATTTCGTTATAGGACCGTAATATTTCAATAAGTTAAAAATAATAATAGCATGCATCCTTGCGATTGTCATAATTTTTTATGTATAAAAATCCCTTTAATCAGTACAAGTCGATATTAATGACTTTCATCCACATCATTGCATCATAATTATTTGTAAATTATAATTTATATTGTATAGTGTAACAGTGCGTTATTCGTTATAAGTGTCCTTCTTCTGCTTTATTTTTTTTATAATTAAACTGTAGCTAGAAAAACTAAATGTACTTAATAAAACAAACGTCGATCTGCTCATTATCTTTTATTTCCAGATAAAAATCTGTCCTTGTAAAACCAATTTCCAAACCACGTGAATAAATTTCGATAGAAAATTTACTATGACACATATACATATAAATAATCTCGAGATAAATTTTGTCGAAAACAAAAATGAATTTTTTTTTATCGAAATCTTCCCAAGCCCTATATATCCCATCTCTACTCTAAATAGTTCTGTACTTAAAGTTCAGTTCCATGATGTTCTGTCATTCCAGTTCAGGAAAGGTCATCCAATAACGATGGTAACTACTTAATGATGAAAAAGCAATTTGCTCTTGCCCCTATTCGAAGGCTCAGTAGACGATCGACCATGACATCTCCCAGGGTTTTCTAGATAGGTTAGTGGTGGGGTTACTAGAACAATTACAACTGGACCAACCCATTTAGCAATGATTCATTTGGTCTCTTATGAGGGTCCTATGAAAGCATTAGTACACTGTGCACATAACGTCCCTCCACGTTCCTCCCTTCTACCGGGCGAGCCCAACCCAACCCAAAGTTCACACTCTAATTTCTACAGCAATTCCCGTTCGCCGTCCAATGGCAAATCACGCCTGCCGTGGCTGCGGTGCCTTTCCTTTTTAAATGCCCATCCAAGGTCCTGTACGTAAATTTTTCTCACGCCCCACGAGAATTACAGCCATAAATTCGCGAGTCGGCCATTTTATTGCGTTCAAAACTCACAGCGCGAATCCCGCGGCTGACGATGTAAATCATCCCAAGGTAAAGTATCAAGGCTGGAAAACGATAGAAGAGAAATGCCCGAGTGGTTGGGATTATATATAAGCTCGATCAAACATAACGTTTTTAAGTCCAGTTACGAAATCCCCAATTGGATTTACCGGTTTTACTGAAATTGAGTACAAAAATAAAAAATTGAAAAAAAAAAATATGAAATGTAAACCATTCATAGGCACTCTCGCGTAAGCGAACTTAGCTAAGATTCAAAAATAGACAAACGTATATTTTGATATTATACAACAGCGTTATTATCGACAGTGAAAAATATATTCGATTTCCCGATTTAACTAACGCGGGCTTCTGTCGCGTAACTTTTGCTTGTATTTCGATATCATGAAAATCTACCTATCCAAGCGTGGGATCAAAATGGTTAACGGTGTCCTCGGTTTCCGAGCTGTTTTATTAAATCTTCATTAACTCGCTCTAGTGGCATCCATCTAGTAACCTGGGAAATTCCCAATTATCTCTAGACTGCCAAAGCACCCGTGACGTTCCCACAAAATTGGTTTTAAACGCTCGATCGGTCGTCCGATCGAATACAGTTGATAACACGTTGGATCAAAATGCGCGAGGTAAAAAAAAAAAAGGAAAGAAACGATTACCGCGTGACCTTGACCGTGACCTTGAACAAGGTTTTATGGCGGTTGCATCCTGTGACGTTATTGGACCGAGTTCTATGTCACCGGGAGTCCGGAACGTGTCCTCGGACTTGTCAGGGATTAAGTTGCTAATATTTCACCGCCGGATCCTAGAATAGCCTTTGGATAGCTTATAAGGTCTGCTTATACTATTGAATTTTCAAAGTTACCCTTATCTCAAATTGCGCCCTGCCTCGTGCATATGTATTAAGACCTCATACGTCATAGACTGTAGAATTGCGAAAAATATCAAAGAGAAGATGGGGCAGAAAAACAAGATACAAATATTTCTTAGGCTGTGCTTTATGTATTCTGTATAAAAAGAAATTATGTCTCTTCGCACCCTTTAGTCTGGAACACTTTAGATGGCGCAGCATCTTCCCTTGTCAAGGTCTATACTTGCCTTGGGATGAGATTAATCTTCCTCTGTCTAAGAGTGGGATAAGAGAGGGGTTCGCGTCTTCGTTGGGGAGAAGTCGGTATTTTTTTTATTTTTATTTTTTTTTTTTTTTTTATAAGAAAAGGTACTGTCAGTTTATGGTTGTATATATAGATTGGAATAAAATGATGCATATATGAATTATGATTGTTCATCTCATTTGCTGCATGAGTTATATGAAGTCTGTGTTGAACCCTTTGGAAAGTATCCTGACAGCTGTCGTTCGATAATACTACGGTTTGGATTGGTTTATATGTAGTGGAAAGAGATGAGGGTCTTTCCCTCGATTCACGGTTCAGGAACACTTTCATTTCTTTGATTCATACGGTGAAGGCACAATTTCAACAGGAATCGTGGATTTCTTATTAGATAAAGTAATTCGGTAAAACGATTGCTACGGGGAAAAGGAGCCATTAAAGAAGAAACAGGGAAAGTGATATATATAAGGTAAAATATTGTTGTCTATGAAGAAATCTCTGTTGGTTTTATTATTACAGTTTCCTTCGACTTTTTCCTATAGCGACGTCATAGTCGTAGACTCGAAATATTTGGGAGGTTTCATATTTCAGTTAAAAATGACAAAAAAAAATTAATGTCAGATGACCGCAGAATATTACTACGTAAAAGTACTGGAATCGTTTATCCGTTTGGTTCTATACTTCTTCCAGGTAACTTCAAGTGTCTCGTACAAGCCCGTTACTGATTACTGGGCAGAACTGTTATTTTTTCTTTTTAGTTTGAGATACGAAATTTTGTTGGGTCGATGTAGATTTTTAACAGTGGTGCCAACGGTGATGTAATGAATTTCATATTAAAAGCTCATTTGTTTCCATGCAGTGTCATGTACTGTGAATGATTAATATATCTATAATTCTCTTTTATTATTTGGAGTTGAAAGCAATGTAGAAATATGTATTGATAAAGTCAGTGAGTTGTAATATTTCGAAATTTTCGAAAATATCGAATTTTCCGTAATAAGGTCTTTGGACGTTTACTGTGAGTTAAAATACTATTTTTTTTTTTTCGTTTTCCCTCTTTCTTCTTTATTTCCTATTCCCAAAGCGACTCCCAACTGTTTTCCATTCTGTTTCCCTTTTTTTTTTTTTTTTTATTAAGCGATTTACTTCCTGCTCCTCTTCCCACCCCGATGAACCAGATATGGCCATACACGCGCACTGAAGCTTGTCAAAGACGTAAAGTTAGTATAGAAACGTATTGGTACTATTAAAAAAGAATAAAGCAATAAAAGTAAGAATTTTCAAAAAAAATGGTATCTAGTACAAAAAGCATCTTTTATTCAGATACGTAAAATCTGACTTTTATCTAACAACGAGGAAAGTACGAGATATTGAAAGTTCACGTATCATGGAAAAATCCTGATTTCAGAAAGAAAATTTCATTTTGAACTTATCGAATTTTCTCGTGGCTCAGTTGACACATTTTTCACAATGATAACACATAGCTACGTAAATTGTATGAAACGTAAAGATTTTAAAGAATGTATGAATATCACGCTACCAGATGGGAATACATAGATTTCAGGGTGAAATTTCAAGATAAAATGTCTCGAGAAAAAAATCGGGACGATTTGTATCGTTATTAAAAATCGATATTTTCACATAACAATAGTTCGAACGTCATCGATCAATCTGACAGTTCCATATATGGAGGGGTCATCGATATTCTAAAAGGACCACATGATACATTATCACCTTCATGATACTCGTAAAAAAAATATTTTTCAATATCGCATCAGTAAAAAAAATAGAATAGAATATTTTATATCCTTTTTTCCCAAGGAAAAAACCTTCGAGTTTCCGTAACTCCGAACACGATGCAATCTACGCTATCGCAACATTTCAGCTTTTAAGCCATCTACTATCAAGCTCGTTCAATTGGCGAGAAAGTTGGAGCAGCTTTTAACAGTTAGTCAGTCGCCGGATACTCGTTGTGTAAAAAGTCGATAGTGATGGCATCGATGTCACAAGAGTTATGGCTTAGATGAAACTTTGTAGCCGACCTTTTATTCTTGCTCGTTCCAGAAGATTGCACTATGGTTGCCCGCAGTAGAAAAAAAAAAAAGTGGCCCTTACGAATTTAAATAGTATTAAATGCTTTTAGCCTTACACTCAAAAACTCATTATAAGAAGTTTCAAAGATTATAAAAGACAGACAAGTGTCTGTGAACCCATTAGGCATCTAGTTTATAGGAGAACAGATCGAAATAGCTATACGAAATAGTATAGAGTCTGAAATTATTTAACACGAAGAATTTTTATTGAAATTCATTTTATGGAAATAATTTGATGGGTATCAATTCTTATCATGGAATCTACAAGGGCCTTCGATAGGGTTACCGATATAAGATATATATGTTCTGGGTTAAGAATTTTATTGAACATACAGAAAGGGTGATTTAGGACATTGCTTAGGTTTACGTTATCACTGTTATCAAAAAGTTATTTAATTCTGGTGCCAAGAATGACGTTACCCGCAATCTACGTGGATCTTTTCAATTACCACTTTCAACGTGGCGAGAGTGAAAAAGTCCAAGTATTCTTAGGTTACGATTTCAGAAACTTCCTTATCAGACATTTCAAGTAGATTCATAGAAAAGTTCCTCGACCACCTAACCCACCGTTGTGGCAATGCATACTATAATATTATTTTGTAAAATTTAATTATAATTTTCGTACACCCTATATTCAATATATTAAACATTTCTTTTTTACCCATAAAAAATATTTCTAGCATCCTTCTCAAATCTTGTTATTCCAAAGTGTTCCTACGTGCGACATATTTCTTATCTGGTTTCAATATGAAGACATTTCCGTACCATTTGATTAGATGAAACTTGTGCATGCTGCACGATCAGAGAGATCTTATGGGCAACATTCTGCGTTCGGATCTTTTTTCTCACAGGACATTTTTATTCTTTTTACAGTTCAAAGGTCAATAATATCCGAACGACAAGACGACGCGGCGTAATCAAATGGCTGCTTTTTCCAGTCTCGTATGTATCCGTATCTACGCGCAAAAAGTATGCGAGTTCGCTCGACTGCTTTTACGAGACTGAATTCCGTAGGGGTGGTTGTTGGAAAAGGGGGTGTGCTAGGGGGTTACATTCGACATCAAATCTAACGATTATTTCAGTTTATGAGAATGCCAATGCCCACTAGAAAGTTACCACGTGTGTCTTAAATAACGTCAATAGGTGCCTAAGAGAAACATATGAGTTGTCATTCAGTTACCTGAATATGTATTTTAAGAACCCTTATATTTTTATGGGCAAAAAAAGAAAAAAGAAACGAAATCACGATACAAGTAATTTTTCTTTGATATCACGCTATAGACTTTTGTCACAGTGGTGATATTCAATTGACGATAAATTTTTATTCATTTTTCACTTCTGTCACTTTATTTTTGGCATGATCGTGGAAACCGGGAGAAAACACTATTTCATCGTTTTGGTGGAACGATATATGAAATTACTGTTACGAAACCAATGAAAAGGTCGTATAGACAGTCATAGAGAATGAACTTGGTACTTTGGGGTAGTATCTGGAAATGGTATGTTATCTGGAAATTCGTAATCGATGCAACAATTCCAACTGCATCCCCAGCATCCTCATCCACAGTTTCCGTCCCTGGAGACCGTACTTGCCTCGTAAACCATCCAACGGCTTATTATTTCCCTTAATGGCGAACAGCATCCCCTATGAACATTTTTCCGGGCAAAATACAATCTTTCGTGAGTGTTTTCACAAGTTGGTATCTTATCGTAGACCAAATATTATTAGGGGTTGGTAAGAGTGTCCCAACATCCAAAATGACAGGATGCAACATAAACCCCCGGAGTTTGGGTTCGTCGACCCACAAAGCTAGCCAGCTTAGGGTCATATGTTCAATGTACGTGCCACAGGTACAGTACTACTGCTTTCGGACGTCATTTATTCCTATTCCTGCCCTTGATAAGGAAGGGATGCGGAAATTGGCGACGATCGTGTGTAAAGATAGGGGATGAAAAATGATTACGTTGAATTACAATAAAATATGCCGGTCAATTCAGATAAAGAAATGACGATTTATCAAGGTGGCTATGAAAATGTTGTTGCTTTTCAAAAAATAATTATTATTCATTTTCCAAAATATTCTTTCCATTAACACTTACTGATTAGCATTGCTTCCAACTGATCAGGTATTAACCGAGTGTCTTCGACTGCTTCGTTATAATGTAAGGGATTACATAAACAGATATGGCTGACGTTATTCGTCTTGGAACTTTGTTAATGATATTCTCGTATTACGTTTTAATTGCCCAATATTGATTAGGTATCTAAGTCAATGATATCCATCACGATCGTAATTCAATAAAACCAGACATAGATTAGAACAACTGTAAATTTGCATTTTTTTATTTTATTTCCCCAGACACGTGCTATTTTCATTTGTGTTTCATGCAAAATATTTTGACGAGGACAGGATTAAAATAGTTTCAAAAATTTATGTCACCTAGATTCATATAATACGTATGGGTATACATATCTACATTGTTGAGCAGCAATGATTAATTACTATTTTCTATGTATCCTGTAATTGCCTCACATTGTTCCTGTAATTAATCACTACGGAATACGCTTCTTCTCAGTTTCGAAAGAATGTCAATTATTTACGCTTGCATAATCAACTTCACTTTTTTTTTTGGTTTGTCTCTTTTTTTTCTTTCTTTCCAATAGAAACTACGTAGCGTCAAGGACAATTAATGTTGAAATTGTCATTCGCGTTTAATACGTTGATGAATGATTTTCAACTTGAGATACTTTGTCCTCGCATTATTTTTTTTTTTTTAATTTTGTCGTACGCAAATGGGCGTAAATTTCAAATAATCGATCACACGTCTATTGTGATTTTAATCACTCACTATTATATCTATTAAGTGAAATTGAAACTCTCACGTGGCGCGCTTTAATTAATTGACTTGATACTTTGCAAACATTACTTTCAAGGCAGATGCGTTGTACAAGTGTACATTTTATGTGACACACGTGACGACGAGATGCTAGGATAGAATAGAATAGAAAAAAAAGGAAAAAAAATATTTATCATTGAGGTAAACATATTATTTGAACATTTTCATAAGAATTATGATGACGTTGGCAGAAATCCTTTGAATTATCGAAGTATATATTTTTCATGTAATCGTTATTATTCCAAAGAAAAAAGTGAATTTGCCGTTGTCGCGTTAATGTCAAAAACTTTAAACATGAAACTTCGAAACTCTCGAGTCTTTTGCATGGAAGTGGATAGAAAAGTAAAGAACGAGTTTAATAACGCGAAACCGTCATAAAAATTCGCAACGGAGTGGCACAAAGTGATATAATTTTTCTTGCGAAAACTCTAATCGGCGGATTCGTGTATTACGCGATTCTGACAAAAAATTTTTTCGAATAATTTCATTATCTTTGCGCATAAATATTATCTTGTTTTACACAGTTTTAAACGAGATTTTATCCCGCAATGCGGATCTTGGCTCGATACTAGTTACGCTACTGGCGACTGGCGCGAAATTGATTAAATTCAAATGACATTCACGTTTAATAAAAAAAGATCATATACAGTAATGATTATTCATATATTCTCTCAGTCTACAGTCACACTCTCGTATAGTAAGTAATGTATATGTCTCTCCTAAAAAGTTGTCTTTAATTCTATCGTTATTACATTTAAAAAGTTTTCCTTCGCGCACAGTATCATCAATGCGAGTAACGCAGTTACATACAGTAGCATCAACAAGAGAGTTTAAAAATAGATTTCCATGAATCCATATTTTGCCAGTGCACCAGCAAAAGAACTCCAACGTGTACGATGGCTGTAATCATTAATTATATACCTAACGACGACTATAAAAACATTTATTCTAGCATAGATCAACCCTCCGAAAAATATGCTGCGTAAAGAAAACCCGCCACCCTTGATTTCCCATTCGCGCTAAAATTCTGCACTCTCGTCGGTACCTACGTGCCGGCATTGATTTTAAGGACCTGTATTAATAATTTATCCTATCTCGCCGTAAAGGCATGTCCGGCCTAGTAACGAAGCTCCTGGGATGAGAATCTGTAAAAAGCATAAAAATAAGAAGGTGGATGTAGATCGCGAATAGAAGGTGGGCAACGCTTGCGCAGTTTCCGTAGTTTCGCCAGACAGCCCGCCGCTTCGGGCGCATCTGAACAGTCTGCGTTCGCCTTCTAGAGAAGCTTCATTAAACGGGCAGCATCGGCAGAGAAGAGAAAAAAATAAAGAAAATTAAGAAAAAAGAGAGTAACTCCTCTCGAGGAGAGACTTGCGTGAGTCACGAGCCAAGGAAAGTGACAAGAGCTTAAAAAAATGCGAGTCTGAAGGAAACTAAAGAATACAAAAAAAAAAAAGAGAAAAAAAGAAAAAATTAAAAAGACAGTCGCTCAATTACGAAGATACGTATCTTACAAGAAATCATTGTCGTGTCGACTGGAAAAAAGGAGAAAAAAGAAAAAAGTTACCTTCGTGCGCGACTCGTGCAAGTGATCGGCAAGTCACTTCAGCCTGAAGTTTCCCAATGCTTATACTGACACGTATATACGTATATACAGGTGTCGGAAGGCGTATCGCTAATTGCGAAAAAAAAAATAGTGGCAGGCATCGTTAGTCGTTCATAGTTAACAGAAGAAGACGGTACGCGTCGCTTTGAACGGAAGAAATTTTTCGAGACGGAAACAATTTTTTTTTTTAATCCAACGGTCCAAATTTTTCTTTTTGTCAAATCATAAAGTGCACTCCTACTTTTTATATCCCTTGACGAGGATCATTCACGTGGTGCTTTACGACTGGAGTCGAAAGTGCTTCGTGTGATCCTTCTCCGAGGATCCAGGATCAATATCGATCATCGCTACGCGCGAGCGTTTCTGATAACGAAATTGGTCCATTGACGGAATATCATTGTTATTATCGATGAGAGTTTAATCATCCATATCACGGATCGTCAGCCGATACTCCAGCTCGTCCAAATGTTGCAACCCCCTTCGACTTTACTCGAGATGGCATCGCTCCGACTACCGGATTCTGAAGAATTTGACGTTGACTCTCGTCGTAGGACCAATGGAAATAACGTACTGACGACTGTCAATCCCTCTATCAGTAATTTCATTGTGAATTTCAAGAACGACCTTGGCGATTACATCAACAGTTCCTTGGCGGAGGTTGCCACCATAAGTCCAAGATCCACAATGGAGGAATCTGGTGGACTTTTAAATTCCAGTGACAACGGCAATCTGTCGATCGATCAGATGCCTGATCGTCTTTATAGGCACAGTATAGCCATGACAGCTGTATATTGTGTCGCTTACGTGCTGGTATTCGTTGTCGGACTTATCGGTAATAGTTTTGTTATCGCCGTTGTGTATCGCTCGCCGAGGATGAGGACCGTCACCAACTTCTTCATCATGAACCTCGCCGTGGCCGATGTACTTGTCATCGTATTTTGTTTACCTGCTACACTCATGAGCAATATCTTCGTTCGTGAGTATACATGTGTATATATATATATATATACGGTCTTGAACAAATGTTATCACAGTGGTTGCTATATTTCAGGTTGAATTCAGACGAGTTTTATTTCTTATTTTACGAGGCGAATTGAATGGACGAATTAATTGAAATTTTAATAAGAAACTTTGTTAATTTTGTTGCCAATATTATGTTAAACGAATGTATTATTATATTTTTCATTTTTTCTTTTTTACGTTCGTTCGGGCGATTATCAATTTTACGAAAATTCGAAACTTAACCACCTTCGGAGGAACGACGGGTTATTTTCACGAACTTCCGGCCGTGGAATGAATATTCGGCCATGTACCAGCAATCGTCAGTGTGTGCTTTGATTATAGCAAAATCTATAGTATTATAACACAACCAATGATTACTGGTACATGGCCGACGACTGGGCCATCCACCTTATCCACTTCGGGATTTTATAAGGACTTTCGATTTTCTCTAATGGTTCGTTTCTTTGGTTTTAATCTGAGATGATATCTGGCGAAGATCGGAATCAAGACTTCCGGTATGATATATTTTCATGAAAAAACTCTATTCACGCAGAAACTAACCAATAAAGAAATTTCTGCTGTTTCCACTTTCCGAAACGATATTTCAAAATTTCGAAAGCTGTCGTTTGATAGCGCTGAATTTATGTGTTCTGGTATATTTAGAAAATTCGTAATGTCTGTATTATATTATCCGACGGCATACCGACTTTCTCGTGTTAATATATCGCATGCCACTAAATACGTGAAACATTATTTGACAAATATACAGAAGGCATTACAAAATTTACATGCAAAATGGGTTTGCGAATTAATCCTTCGGCATTATCAGAGAGATTGACACGGGGTGATCTTTCTTTGTTAGATAATACAATCCAGTATGTTATCGTCTATCGTTATAAAAAATATCATTGAACTTATTCCATTATTACGTGATTTAACATAAAAGGATTATCCGCAAAGCGTTATCAGTTAAATCAAATGTTGTCGATCACTGATTTAACCTGACCTTGAAAATATTCAAGATACGTCACAACTGAAAGTTGGACTAACATATTATGTAATTCAATGAAAAGTATACATCAACGAAAAATTAAATATTTCATAATCAATTTTCAAGAATACCTCAGAATCGTTATTATGAAGATAAACATTAATTACCCAACAGCTTTTTTTGCATTTATCAATCGATATACAAAGATCAAAATAATTAACTATTTACGTAATCTGCTTAATGCAGAAACAATAAGTCATCGCATTCCCAACAATCATAATTCAGGCTAATCAGGATCAAGGTCATTGTGATAAAAACTTATTTGTCAGCTGTTAAATCATTTTCAACTGGTTTAAAAAAAAAAAAAAAAAAACTAAGAACAATAATCCCTCGCAGTAGATAATAAATTATCATCAGGAGTTTCACCCCGTCGCGTATTTATAAAAAATAAATAATTATCTCCACTTAGGGTGGGCAGACAATAAGTATCACTTAGACTTTAAAAAGTCGATTTACAGCGTACAACCCCATCTGTCAATTTCGTATTGGAATCCGCCTTAATATTTTATATTTTACCCCTTTTCTAAAAATCGAACCCTGCTCAACCCTCATCCTACTACCCCCATAATTTTCTATCTTCATACTACACTCAGCACTACGGGTTCCGCGGTCCTTTCGGATGCTGTGGAATTTGGGTCGCGAATGCAGGTGAAATATACGGGATTCGAATCACGTCTGCGATAAGCTTCACGAGCGTCTTATTGATTCATTTCGCGTGGAAGCTTTTCATGCGAATCTCACCTGAAAGCGGAACGATAAAAATCGACTAAGAGGCTACTGATTGGGTTGTGTACCCGGGAACCTCGTACAATCGCGCCCTTTGGCAAACGCGGTTTAAGAATTCATTCTGTTAAATTAAAGGGGGTTGCCGAGCCAATGAATTCGATTTGAGGGTCGTCATATTTTTTTAAGTACTTTAATTCTTTAAAGAAATGAATTTCCCAGTGACGCTTTTGCAATTTCGAATTAATTTCTCAAGGGTGGAAATTGGTACTGAGGCCAAATGACTAATACGATAAACTTACTTGATTAGAATCTGAAGGCTGGCACTTTAATCGTCGTCTAAGAACAAACTTTGTTATGAATTAATAGACCAGTAGATGGTATGGATATGGTATTCGAAAAATACCATTAGTTCAATTTTAATATTTCTATACACGGCACGTGTACTCGTATGCGTAGCGTGTAAGCGATGTTGTGATAATTGAAATTAATTGATTGGATTAGTTATCAATCGATAGAATTTTGAAATTGCGAGAAAGTAAACACGAAAATACATTCTGAATCTATCAGCTGAAAAGCAGAAGCCATCTTTACCTTGACTTAGTCACCGGTCTCTCTCGATGATGAGATCGTTCGCCAGTGATATTGTAATTCGGGCGCTTAAAACTTGGCAAGAAATTTCTTTGTACTCGGAGTTAATTTCCATTTGACATTACGACGTTAAAGAGTGCAGGGAGCTCGTAAACCGAGCGAGTCGCACCTCCGGGAAGCTTTCATATGTAAATCAATAAGGAATCATATGATTTGGCGAACATCAAAATTAGCATGTCGATTGGAATTGAATTTTACAAGTGAAAAATATTCAAAATAAAATTCCGAGGTAATAATAATAAAAATGATAAATTGATTCATACGTGTCTTGATTGATTTGAATTATCGACTTATTTATGAGTAACACATTAGCTTTTACCCAAAACATCCAATTTTTCAGTATTCGACGAGTTTGAAAGCCAGTAACCAAACGTTGGCCATTCAAGTTACAAATTGTTCAAACAGAATGGATTCTTTTCAGGCACCGAAACGCTCATCGATCAAGACTACGTCGAATCGCCGGGTGCTTGTAGAGAAGAGATATTGGAGAGTTTCAGCAATCTTTTTTCCCCGTGGCCTTTGACCCGTTAGATTTAAAGGACTGCTTGGTACGAGAGGCACTAAATCAAGAGCAGGAAAATCGACTGGGACTATACCCAGTGGTGCGCAGAGAGTCTCTTACGGAATAAGGAAAAAGACGCTTTCCCACTCAGGCACATGCTGTGCCATATCCAAAATCTCGGCAAAGCGATGGACCATTGTGCTATTTTTTTCTCAAATCATCGCCACGGGAAAAATCGTCCAATGTTCCATAACGTCCAAATGACCGTTTCTTCAAAATACTAGAGTCCCGTTTCGAAGAACGATATTCAATGTACCTCGCGTTTACGGATTAGGTAATTACCGATCGATATACACAAAAACCTTGTCTACGGCATCACGCTATATATATATATATATATCCTCTGTATCCCGGAAATTGATGCAGCACTACAGAACAAAGATGGCGCGCTACTACCTTAACGATCAGACCCTTCGAAAGGGGGATGTGAAATAGAAAGGAGGGCGAATAGGGGGTCGTGGGTATAGTCGATTAAAACGTCTGATGCATAATGTGCAGGATTATCGAACGTCTATCAATTTCCAGGATGCAATGCAATGTGCATTGCATACTTGCCTATCTATACATACATATATATTATATCTGTAGTCGATGGCCGCCGACCTATGGATGTAACCCAGGGGTGTATCCTAGGTGTGCACCACTGGGGGAAGAGGCTGCTGGGGTGCATGGACTATAACTATAGTACTACATAGGCGTACGGTACTATAGTATACGGTAGTATAGACACGGTCTATACCATAGTAGGGCACGTTGTAGGTTGTAGGTTGGTGGTAGGACGAACGGTTGCAGTAGGGTAGGTGGGTCGGTTGGTAGGTATCGAGTGCGCTGCCACAGGGTGAACGCCCCGAGGTGACCGCGTCCCGACGCCCGGCGTCGCTACCCTCGCTTCGAAAGTCTCAGTCGGAAACTGGGGCTCGGTCGTATCCCTACCAAACACCCTCTTCTCTGCTCGCCCACGGCAGCCTCCGTTACTACCCCGTAATTCTACTACGTTCCTACGTTCATGTTTATCAACATTACCTGTAGCTCATGACTTGGCCACTGTCATTATATATATATATATATATTTTTTAGAAAAAGCAAAAGGGTCGCTTCTTTTTCGAGGGTGCAGATATTGCCGTTATTATTTGGCTGTAAAAAGTTTGAATAATATATTTTTTGAGGATGCTTCTTTCTGATGCTCTACTTTTCCTACTTTCGTGTTATACTTTTTTGTCTTTATATATTTTTTTAATCAGGCGCATATATATGACTGTTTTTTTGGCACTCGACCAATTTTATTAATGTAAATTTAATAAAATTTTTCAAACATTATCTCTAAGGGTTAACTCGTAGGGTTGGTACTGTCTTCGAAGACAATGGGGTATGAAAATAGGTCGAACATATAATGCAACTGAGAGATATGGCAGTGCCTCACGATTCATGAATATTCAAAATAAAGTGGCTGCTATTGTTTTTTAAAAAAATTTTTTATCTATCTGGAAATTATGCTTCCCCTGTGACATTGTCGACTCTTATACAGGTGGGTGGACTAAAAAAAAATTATTACCACCCTGTGCTAATGCTATTTGAATATTTCAATGTATTCCTTTACCACCAACGTCACAATTACGCATACAGGAGTGTGAAGATTTGAAAATCTCCGAAAAATTTCATATACATGTAGATTTGATAAAGTGACATAAGCGATCGTTAGACCTACGAATTCTAGTGTCTTTCTGATAATACCATATAACGCAGTGTCGTCCTATCCCCGATTGATTATTTATTTCGCTCAATTAATGTATCACCCGATATAATAATGCATAACTTTCGTACTGCCAGAATTAAGACGGAATATGCTTAATGACAAGTCCAACGATAAGTTTCCTCAGGTGTAGTACAAGCGTCTTCAAGTGTACACAACTGCTCCCACATCCGAATCATGCATACGAGACTTCGTCATTACGCAAGTGTTGAAAATATGTTATTAACAATGCGTTCC